GATCGCTTCCTTGAAATGATGCCGAAAGAGTGCCCGATATAATTTAACCACAGAAAATAGGTTAAAAATGCCGGAGGATTTGGAACTAAATCTTTAGAGGTGGACCGGAATGGTACATAGTGAGCAAGCCATGTTCCACAAAGTTTAATCCTACACCATATGTTTACACCAACGTCGATCAACGCCATAGATGCAGAGTTGATCCAACACAACAATCACGCAATTTCAATCTTGCAAGCTGCTAGCCTTCAGGGCATACGAGCATCTACCCAATAATGGAAGTAAACATTGTAGTGAATCGTATTATCTTTGAAACCACTGAAGTAAATCACAAAATATTCACCTGAGTTTGAAGTCGGACTGCCATGCTCATTTTATCTTGCGGGCGCAAACTTCTGAGCATTAGTTGAAGATGGCCCTCGATTTCAGCTCCATTTGCAGAGCCATGGGAGCACGTTGGAGAATTGTCCCTGAAATTCCAATTCGATAGCCGTACAAGAGTATACAACGTTGCGTTGAAAAAAAAACGACCAAATAATGGGCAGTTAGCAGTCTAACAGTGATTTGATTTGTCTCTCACTATACCAAGCCGATAAGCAGTGAAAGACGAGATTCCCACTTTGCATGCACGAACTATTAGTAATTTTTCGGATGTCCGTGGACAGTATGGGAATACGCCGTTAGCATTCTCTTTAAAAAAGGTGTGGCTCCAACGCGACACTTTTTTGCTGCGAGGAAACTAGGCTACGTCTGATCCGTGACGGACATGGGGTTTCCACAGCGGAAAGAATCGCGCTGCCAAAAACCCTTTCTAAATATCCTGCAAAACCCACAAAAAAATTAAAAATCACTTCCGCTATATCTCAACGCCTCTCTAATCGGACAGCACCAGATGGACCGTCCCCATTTCCTCGTTCAGAGACGTAGTACACCCGTGGTCTTATTCACATTTCAGAAGGTAAACATTCATACTGGATGATCAATAAAGGGACTGACGAAAACTTAATAGTCTCAGAAAGATTCGGAAACGAAACATACAAAAATTAAGAAAAGTGTTGAAATGATCAGTGCTTAGCTTCAGAGGGAAACCGCTAGGCCTCACGCTACGATTTCGTGAGCGACACAACATTAATGACGCTTCTGTCTCCATCTCGAAAGTGAAAGACCAGTTTTCAATCAACTAATTCAAATAAACAAAGCCACAGCAATCCACTAACGATCAACATCTCTCATAGAGGAGGTGCGTGTAAGTCAAAATGTATCTTCTGTACACACCAAGTAATCAATATCAGCTTTACTCTGTGCTAGCTCGGACTGCTTGGAAACTACCGATTTCGGTTATATATTTGGAAAAGTGAGCGTGACTTCATAATTATTTTGGGATGCATATTACTTTGGTGCTAGCTATTAGACCGCAGACGAAAATCCTTAAAAGAGCCCAAAGAGGACTTACATGTGCAGAAAACAGCTGAACGCGACAGCAAAGTAAATTCGGAAGTGCTCCGATGCGAGAACGAAATCTGGAGTACTCGAAGTCCTTATGAGTACATATTATTATTAAATTACGACGATGAAAAGATTTGAGGAAGCCAAGTTCGCCTTGTGATTGCTTTTAACTATAGCTCGAAAGTTAAACGTTTTTGGAATTTTCTAAAGTAGAGAGGGCGTTGTTTTTGTGTTTTCGAATAGAAAGGGCCGTAGCAAGGACTTTACAGGGTCGCGACGAGGAGAACTCGGCCCCCCCAACCCGGGCGCCGATTGCCATGCCGGAGAAAAAACTGAAACGCCGTTACGGAGATTTTGGTAGAGGGTTGCACTAAATTCGGATGTGGTTCACACGATAGGAGGGTGACTTTCCCGCGCTTTGCAGTAGCAAAAAGCACTTCGTGTCCTAGCCCCAGTTACCAACATCGATTCAATACTGGTTGGAGTCTCGTACACACTACGATCCCTCCACCGTTTTCGAGCGCTCTTCGGCACTATTGCACTATTTACAACCCCTGGGTGTTGAGCGAGCAAACGAAATTTTCGTTTGTCAATTGATTAATAGGGCCGCGTTATCGAGGTGTGATATACGATCACATGAGCTCCATTTTTTGCGACTGGCGAGAAATTGCCTGCTAAATTGGCTGCCTGAGGGGTTATTTGAGACCCGGATTACGGATTCACATTCGTTTTTGTCGTTGGCGCTATTCGCATTTATTTCCTGCTCGCTGCGCCCTACCAATTATTAGATCGCAATCAACTAAGATTTGGACCGAGACGGAGAGGCGTGCTCCGAACGCACCGAAGGCCCCGCTGTCGACCCTGAATCTCACCACTTTAAATTTTGCACAAAGCTGTGCGTGTGTTTTACCCCCGGAGTTCACTTTCCTCCCCTGAGCTTAGTCGCAGGGCGAAGAATTGAAGAACGCTTAGGAGAGCAGAAAATATGCGTTAAACAGCGCGAATGTCAGAAACGAATTGCGTGTTCGTAATCAACACCAAACAACCCTAAAGAAATGGTGCATCGAAATTCCAATTGTCGTGAAAAGTAGACTCAAAAATGGATGTCATATGCGTGACCATTACTCTCGGTAACCAGGAGAATTTTTAACGATTTTTTTGACCCATCTGACCCCCCATGCGGTTATAATAGTGCAATGCGCCGATTTTTTGGAACTTGGGGAGGGGGGTGGGGGGGTGGTGCCGGAGTGTGCTCGCTTTTTTGGGATAGTTTATGTTCTTCTGTTCCCAAAAAATAGGTTTAAATAAAACATGCAAATCCATTTAGTCCCAAAAAAGCCTATAAGCTGTTCTATCAGGATAAGCCTAAGTTGGCTCAAAATCCCAACGCAGCTTCGACAGGTAATCGTAATAACAAGCGTACACAGGCAAGCACAAACCGCATTAAAAACGCCATGGATGCTACTTCTAAAGCACTTCGCTTACCGTTCGTGCTTGGGGTAGATAGGTATCGATCATGCGATTGCACGATCGATAAGTCTATCGATCTACTGCACACTCGAGCTACAAAGCGGTCGCCGAGTATGGCCCCACCCATACGTGTTCATAGCTACAGGTAAACTCGCGCTAGCGTAGTGGGGGGGGGGGAGTCGCCGAGGAGAATGCTGCATAACTGCACCGTCGCACGGAGATTTGTAAGCTCGTATGTTATGTCCCAGTTTTTCACGGATGTCAAGTGACTCGCCCCTGACCCTCCCGTCCCCCCCCCCCTGTTTGCAGACTACTTGAACTCGACTCCTTTAATCGGCCTCAGTTTGATGCTCGCTTGCGCTCTCTCGTCTGAGCACCTGCTCAGGACTTCTGTGGTCTCACACATTCATTCCTGTAATTGTCCCTCCCCCACCCAGGAGTCTCTTGCCCTCAAAATTTAGCCTAAGGGCTCACCTTCCTTCCTGGGCACCAGGCCCCCTAACGTTGGCGGCAGTAGAATTTCCACCATTTTTTGACGATCACCATTAAAAGAACCCGAACTTTTACTTCGTTTACGCGGTATATTTTTTCATTGGGTTGTTCTATGTGTCGACATTACCAGGAGTTAGCGGGACAAATGAAGAAAAAAAAACGAATTTCAAATAAAAAAAACTCACTAGGATCTCGCTTTCATCGATGATCGAAGGGGAAGGTGAGCGCTGAACTTGAACGAGCGACATGCTAGTAGTTAACAAATAAAATCAGAAATATGAATAAGGCGACGATAAATTTGGCAATAGCTGTGATGGCGGTGATGGCGGCGTTGGCGGAAAAGCGACGGCGGCGAGTGTTGCATTCAGAATAAAAGATGTGGAGAATCAGGTTCGTCGTGCCGTCGTGTCTGTCTGCGGCGCCCGTCGATGAATCACACCACAATCATCAGCGTCGACAGCAGCAGAACGCACTCGCTCCCAAACCCGCGACACTGCTGAAACACGGCACTTTACGAACTGAACTACGTAGAAAACTGGACCACCAGCACCAAAGAATATTATGAGAACTACAGGAAAAAATCTGTGCACCAAATCAACCCAAAGAATCAGCAGATCGATTGATAACAGTAACGGCTAAATCAGCAAGCGAAAAAGGTCTCGCCACCCGCACGCACTTTTTCCCTGACTACTGTCTTTAAAAATTAATCTTCAACTTAATGTATGGGTCAACAAAAAAGGTAATACTTTAAAGCTTCTAGTTACTGGATTACAAGCTCTTTAGTTGGCGAAAAGCCGAAAATTTAGTGTAATAAGGTACGACTGTGAAAAAAAATCAAGTGAAACAATTCAGGGCCCTATACAAGTGGGGTGGGCATGCCCAACTTTTTACGCATG